CAACCAAAATTTTTACCTACGTGGGTAACGCGCCACAAATACACGGGTCACGCGCGAGTGTTCGAAATTCACGTCGGCCCGTCGGCCGCCGCCGACAGTTTCGATGCCGGGCCTACAGCTTCTTGATACAAACAGAGTCCCGCTGAATACTCTACAGCTATTTGAATCACTTGAATAACTCGATAACACTGAGGCAAACTTACCTGTAGAAATCTGTTCATCGATAGTCATGCTTCCCAAAGCCAGGTACTGTATTTAAACTAATCCGTGATAAACCGATACATACATATGGCTAAACACATACCCACTGCATATTAATTCTTGACTGCCAGGTGCGCAATAAACAGTGCGTCGGATGTTCGGCACAGCACAGAGTTCGCTGAAATCCAGTTAGGCAGCGGTTGGGCATAGTCCAAAAAATCCGATAAGAAAAGTCGGGTGGAGCTTAACTTTTGGCCAGTGGTAGTGACCTCTTAACACATTGAAGGGTTGGCCCAGGGTTTATTTACGTGCACGGGTGCGTGCAGCCATGCTCCACTAGCTGTTACGCTGTGCGCTTAGGTTGCTGGAGTAATTCTCACATCCCGCGCAAATTATCAGTTTTGGATGTAACAATAAAGTGATCACTGGTAGTTACAACAACGATCAGTACTTACCTGTTTAAACATAATATTAAGAAGATTTCATATGTAATCATAACTCATGTCTGATTATACAGTAATAATAATAATTGTCTCAAGTTTTACACACATAAGTCACTGCTAGCTGCACAAGCAGTCCCCGTGTGGTACGTATACCAGGCTGTGCGAATAATTGTCTATTCTACCCTGAGCGAATACCTTGGAGCTAGTCGTGTGGTATTACTTTACTAAGTCATGCAAACAGCAGTACAGCCTCGTCGCACCACTCAGGTTTAACTGTGTCATATTGTTTTAACGCTTGGACAAAACTATATACATTTTATACAAGGGTGTAGCTAAATAAAAGCCTTTCCCTACGTAAGAGCTTGTATGTCTACAAATACATTTACTTTGGACACACTCAACACAGAACGGAATTCCCCAGTGCCCATCCAAATTTTACAGTAGGTAAATTTTACATAATTCTTTCCTTTTCCACCAAAAGTGTTGCTAGTTCTAAAGCTATTGGAGTTCTCTGAAATGGCTCTAGATTGCATCTCAGAGCTTATAATTTTCAAAAAAATTTCTGGGGGCATGGCCCCCAGACCCTCATAGAAGTCCCGATGTGTACCAGACTACCAGTCTGTCTCTCTGCTGTCAAAGTGGAGAGTCCGTAGTTCAAGGAGCGTACATATAACACCGATGTGGCGTTTCCTTAATTGTGAGACCCCCGGCCAAAAAAAGCATAAACAGTCATCCGACGACGAGGAAGGAAAAAACAGAGGGATTATGATTATGGACATTGATAATGATTAATAAACACAAGGTAGAACATGATATTGCTGTTTTATTACTGTCTAATTGCTCCAAAATTGGCGGCCTACAGCTTTGTGGCGCGCCTGCAGCTTTTTAGGAGCTATAGGCCCTGCAGGCCTACAGCTTTTCTGCTCAGTGGCAAACACTGGTCACGCGACAAAAATACACGGGTCACGTGCCAAAAAACACACAGGTCACGCAACAAAAATACACGGGTAACGCCCAGCCAAAATACATGGGTCACCGCCAAAAACACATGGGTCACGCGCCAAAAAACACATGGGTCACGCAACAAAAATACACGGGTCACGTGCCAAAACACACAGGTCACGCAACAAAAATACACGGGTAACGCGCCAAAAATACATGGGTCACCCGCCAAAAACACATGGGTCACGCCGCCAAAAAACACATGGGTCACGGCGCCAAAAACACATGGGTCACGCAACAAAAATCACGGGTCACGCGTAAAAAAACCTAACCCTAAAATATTGATCTAAAGCCGAGTACATTTCTTAAAATTGCACTCCCAAATATTTTTTCTTGCACTCCCACAATACTCTTTCCTGCTAATACCCTGTTACGTGTCTCGATAAAAAAAAACTTGATAAAAGACAAGAAGCTGATTCACGCTGTCGAAAACTCGTTGCACGATTTCCACGGTACAGTCACTTGCATCACGCCTGACGCGAGATTGAGATTGCGCGGAGCTAGTTCGGACGATCCAACGTGCTTACGAGGGTTCCAAGTGGTTGAGTGCTTCCTAAGTACCTTCACAAGTTCGCCTCATTCGCGAGTCTCCTCGGCTCAGTCTTGTCTCCTGAAACATTTCATGCATCAGAAAATGAACGTTACGTGCATTCTCACCCCGCCGTTAGCGACTCAAGAAGCGTTCACGCTTCAAAGTAACTGTCTGTCTAATCTCTATCCTTTTATCTTCACTCTCCAGCTCTTCCCTAACCAAGCTTTCTGATCGGCCCACCAAATGCCACACACCTGCGCCCCCCACCCCACACCTGCCTCTGCCACCGCCTTGCAACTCTCGTGCCTCCCACCCCTACCTACCCCCTGCCACCCCCACCCCTTCACTGCCTTTCATGCCCCCCCGCTCTCGTGCACGCATACGCCACCCCATTCCACGTCCCTGCCGTCGCCCCCCCGCCGCCCAAGCTCCCTCTTCCTCCCCTTCCCCCCCGCCGCTCACCTTCTGCCGGGCAGGCCGGCTTCTTACGGTTCAGCACGTATGTGAGACATCGGCAACGCACACGTTGAGTGTCGGTCCCAGTGAACGAACGCCACGCTGCGGCGGACGCACGCAGCGACAGGATGAAGCCTCGGTTGCAAAGGGCCGCACGACCCATCGCGCATGCGGCTCCGTGCCCGGTGCGCCGTAGCGGCGAGTGCACGTCCTGCAGGGCGAGCACAACACACCCGTCCGTCCAACATCTGCTCGTCATCATCATCATCACGGTATCGTCATCACTATCAAACACTATTATGCACTATCATCATGAATCATGACTGATGATCATTTTCATCTTCTTCGTACGTTGTCGATTTCCTATATTATACATTTGCTAGCGGTAACCACCGATCATCATCGCTATTTATCATTTATAGGGCGAGGATATACTGTCGTCATCGTTCGTCATCACTGTCACCGTCACCTACGTCTGTGGTCGGAATACGTAACCAGAGTGTAGATCATGGCGTGGATGCAGTGTAACGATAGAGAGTGAGGGGGTGATCCGAATGGACCGCAGGTGAGGAAAATTGGGTGAACGACTCGCCCCACTTTCCCACGATGTCACTTCTCCGCGTGTTTAAACTAATCGCGAACAGCGTCTGTGGGCCGGTTGACGTCAGGCCGAAGATCCGTGGACGAAAAACACCAGAGAGAATTACTAGCTTGAAATTTAGAGACGTGCTGACACAAACGAGTAAGGCGCAATGGAGAGCTCTGTTTCCGATACTTTGGCGGCGGCGTGCTTTTACTTAGACACAGTACGGATGGCGAGAGGAGCTGGCTTACAAAGCATTGGTTATAAAGCAGTGAGCAAACTCGCCTTAGTTAGCTTAAGATAGTCAAGGAAACTTTCGAGAAAAAGCGTCACGAGCGATTCGGCATATTACAAATTAGACTCAAGGTGATCAGTAGCATGCCTGAATGCCAGACGGGCAATACTTGCAGTGAGTCGACTGATATTTGTTCATAGGAAGCATAGAGTGTGATAGTTCTGCGAAGGTTCTCTCAGTGTGTGTGCGCGTGTTCCCATCCATGAGGAGAGGAGGTTTAGACACTTCTTGTAACAGCACATAGCTATGGTTCTGCCCGCAGCTCTGCGTGAAGCCCATATCTTTACATAGTCTGAATGAAGTCACCAATAGCCTTCCGTACGTTATATAAAAGCTACTGCACGAACATTCGAAAGCAAAGCTGCGAGCATTGATAGCATGTTCAATACATGTTGTCTCGACAAGTCATGCACATCACTGACTACTGTGCGACCTAATAACCACCCTCGACCACGGGCTGGAGTGAATACAATCGGGTCAGAATTCAGTTCGCTGCACATCACTCGGACCCTCGGCGAGCGGCGGTGTGTTTGGACGGCAGCGCCCGCCAATAAGCGACTAACTCCCAATGACTCTGCTATGCAGTGTAAACGGTGGCAAGAGGTACCGAGTAAAATTCTTGAGCCGTACATGCTATAGAGCCAGTCGTGCATTAAGAACATAATAAAAATATCCTCTTATTTGCCCTCATCGAGCGCTAACCGATACACCCGCAAACCCCGCGCTATAAATACAAGGGGCATTATGGAGGCACAACACGCGGCGTTTATCGTCCTCTCATATAGATGTCTTATATGAGATTATGTTGTGCGATCTTTCTTTTTCTTCTTCTGACTAGCTTAACGATTATATAATCTGTATGCCAATACATTATCAGTTTGTTACGTGGAATGATTGCTTAGCAATGCAAGAGATGAATTCAACAAATTTGCGAATAACTTGTGTCGAGGTAATGCTCTCGTAAATACACTAGCACACTGAGGTTGACGCCATCGAGGTAGGGAGGTGAGGGAGGTTTATGTTCCTCAGGACAACCAATGGATGCTATTTCGGTAAAAAGACCCCTTCGCAAAAAAAATAAAGTGGAGACGGGCCTACTATATCTAGCCCGAAAACTTTATTTCAGCCGCCTTCACATGGAGAGCAGGATATAGCACAGACGCACGCGCACACCGGACGTGCAGCAGGGACGGTCGGGGGCGAGACAAGATTTTTTTTTAAATTGTGGCCCGAGCGCGCACACGTGGATTGGATAGGCTCATGGGGGAGAGAGAGAGATGAGAGATGCGTGCCGACTGAATACAGTGATCTTTCGCATTTCTCGTGCTTTTTCTACGAGGGCTCGAGTTCGATGTTGTGAGGACTCATGCGAGCGCGGAAAGATGCTCGTTCCAACTTGCCTGCAGCGGGACCGGCTATGCATGTGCCGTAGCGTGGTCTGCCGAGGCGATCTTGTGAAGTGACTGAGATATCGTGACGTTCTCAGCAGTTCAGGAATAAAGTAGCCAGTAGGGAATGGTCGTGTACGGAGCCGCGCGTCGCCCGCATTGATTACTGAACGACCAACATTCTCCTAGATCTACCTTGTGGGACCGACTCGTCATGTCCGGGCTCGTTTCACGTTCCCCGCCGCCTCGGCTTCAGTGGTGTTCGGACAGTGTCTTCATCTAGTCTCTATTTCCCCGTACTTGCGGTGACTGAAACCAGTTGAAGTGGTCAGATGCGCCAGGACTCACGCACAGTGCATACGGGACTAGGCACTCGAGAATCGCCTGTCTGGTGCGTAGTTCTTCGTCGCCTCGCCAACGACTTAAATTCTTACGGCTGACTGAAACCAGGGCGACAGCGCAGATGTGAGCCGACTAAAACACTTCTGTTACTGTATGGCACCCACAACCGTGAATAGCCAGCAATCGTGACATATGTAATGCAGCTCTGGAGAAGCCAGCATTCTTTCGCGTTCCCCACCACTCTCTTATCGCAGTTATATAATTTGGCGACTTCCGATCCTGCGGCCGATTGCGGCACATTGTCGAGAGACAACGGCAAATCCCTCGAGAATGAATCACCCGCGTGACCCGTGTATTTTTGGCGCGTGACCCGTGTATTTTTGGCGCGTACCCCGTGTGTTTTTTGCGCGTGACACGTGTGTTTTTGTCATGCAGGTCGGATGCACTCGCACGCTCGACCAGGCGAAGGCGCTGCTCAAGTTTGTCGAAGCCATATCGGAGAAGACGCTCAGAAGCACGGTCGTGATGACCGCCGCCAGGGGGCGTGGCAAGTCGGCGGCGTTGGGCCTCGCCATGGCGTCTGCCGTCGCGTTCGGGTAACGACGAGCGACGTTTCTCGGCGGTAACCGTCGGTCACGCGGCAACGACTGCAGACGGATGCGCCGACATGCGTATAGTTTGGAATAGAGTAACCGTGGCAACATGAAATGGCAGAAGCTATGTAAACTCCGGTGTGGATATATATTGTTTCGTCTCTGTCGTCTGTCTGTTATAGGTAGCAGCGTGTGGTGTTGCGCGTGTGTTTCTCATCGGTTCTCATCAGTTAATCATTGACTGTTTCTCTAGGTATTCGAACATCTTTGTGACGTCGCCAAGCCCCGAAAATCTGAAGACGTTATTCGAGTTTGTTTTCAAGGGCTTTGATGCCCTAGAGTACCAGGTAAGAAGAACTCTGCCCTCAACAGTTGTTCTAATCTGGATAATCTATTGCTGTCGTGTTTTTAATCATATTCATGACCTTCGTTTTATAATATTTAATCGGTATTACTATATTATTATAACATTGTTATGATATTGTGCATTTTATGTAGTATTACATCAGGATGCGAAATTAACGGGAGTCCGGAGTCAAATACTCCCTGATTTACTGTATTTCATGTAGTATTACATCATTGATGTTGTAAGGGTATCTGCCTGGAACAATTGTATTTTTCACAGTTTCTAATTCTAAATCGCAGAACTGTGTTTTCCTAGGAACATTTGGACTACGACGTCGTACAGTCGACGAATCCGGAGTTTAACAAGGCCATTGTTCGCGTGAACATTTACCGGGAGCACAGACAAACAATACAGGTGTGTAGTGCCAACACAAATCTCAGGGGTAGAAATTAACTTGTGAACAAGAGAGTCCAACAAACCCTGTCCTCAAAGAGAGTGAATCTGCAGCAAAATGAGGGAGTCCACAGTCTGAAGTTTAAAACTAATTTTAACAATAACGCATGTGCTTATTTTGAAGATTCATGCGGTTGCACGTCTGCCAAATTTTCTTTGGACATTTGTTGAAAAAATATGGTAATTCTGTGATGCCGTGCTCTGGAACGAACTAGTTAGTATAGCAGAATTTTCAGGGAGTCACACGGACTCCTGCATATGTCAAATCAGGGAGTCCGCTCTGGAACGAACTAGTTAGTATAGCAGAATTTTCAGGGAGTCACACGGACTCCTGCATATGTCAAATCGGACTGTAATCATATGTCGAGTCTGACAGTAAATCAGGGAGTATTTGACTCCGGACTCGCGTTAATTTCACAGCCTGAATCTGCATACATGCACAATCATGTAGTGACATACAAAGTTAATATTGCTTCCCATAAAAGTATTATGACGATAATCTTAATTTGATTTTTATGAAAGATCTTGATTTGAAAAGTCATTAATTGAAATGCCGACGAATCGTTGATAGTTTACCTGCGTTAAGTCCTGTCGTTAACGTTAACGAACGATAATTGCGGGATTCCATTTTCAGTACATACATCCTGCGGATGCTCACCGACTGGGACAGGCGGAGCTGGTGTGTATAGATGAGGCTGCTGCTATCCCCCTGCCCATGGTCAAGGCACTGCTCGGACCTTACCTTGTCTTCATGTCCTCAACCATCAACGGGTAGATATCCTATGTGCATACACACATACATATATATATATATATATCAGTGATGAGTACAAGCAAGCTTTTTTTTTCTTAAAATAACGTTTTTTTTTATTTAATGTTTTCTGATAGTATGGACAACGTGATATTTATATCTATATGTGTAACACGCCTCTCCCTATCTTTCTCTCCTTCTCTTTCTCTCTTTCTCTTTCTCCCCCTCTCTTTCTCTCCCTCTCTTTCTCTCCCTCTCTTTCTCTCCCTCTCTTTCTCTCCCTCTCGTTCTCTCCCTCTCTCCTCCTTCTCCCCCTTTCTCCCTTTCACACTCTCCCCCTCCCTCTCTCTCTCTCTCTCTCTCTCTCTCTCTCTCTCACTCTCTCACTCTCCTCCCTTCCTCTCTCTCTCGCTCTCTCTGTCTCTCTCACTCTCTCCCTTCATACAGGTACGAGGGGACTGGTCGCTCGCTGTCTCTCAAGCTCGTTCAGCAGCTGAGGGAGCAGACGGCAGTTCTCAGCTCCGTGAGCGCCGCGGCCGCGAAGACGCAGACGATCGAGAGCACCGTTTCCATGACGACGGGTAAGGAGACGTCGTACCGGAATCGGGTTTCTCTGCAGTTTAATGCTGTGAGGGGTTGTGGTGCGTTTTCGTAGGTTGTTGTTTGCTTTGGAGGGACCGTGGTAGATGTTGGATGTTGTTGTACGATGTTGCATGTTATTGGTAAATGTTGTGTTGTCGTGCGATGATGCAGGTTGTTGTACGATGTTGCATAATGTTGGTAAATGTTGCAGGTTGTTGTGCAATGTTGCGGTTCGTTGTACGATGTTGCATAATGT